CCCGGCAGGGAGCCGGAGGCCCCTGGGCGGCCGTTAGCGGGCGCGGCGCCCGGCCCGGCGCGTGTAGCGCACTGATGGGGGCCCCTTGTCTGCTGCAGGTGATGAGCGCCCTGCGGTCGAAGCACCACTGCGGCGAGGAAGAAGCCCGTGTCATCTGCGAGAAGGTCCAGGACAAGCTGCTCAAGGAGTGCCACGATCCCGCCAAGATGTGCATCACCGACCTGCGGATTTCCCACTGGGAGGAGGCGATCCAGGAGACCATCGGGGGGGAGGTGAACCGCAACCTGGCCGCCGAGTGCTATTTCCTGTGGAAAACGACTCGCCTCCGGCACCTCACTCTGTCTCAGGACACGCGGGACATGCTCACCGAGATGCGGAAAGGGGTCCGCCTGCTGCTCCTAACTAACGGCGACAGGCAGACGCAGCGGGAGAAGATCGAAGCGTGCGCCTGTCAGCCCTACTTCGACGCCATCGTCGTGGGAGGAGAGCAGAAGGAAGAGAAACCGGCGCCATCCATATTTCATTACTGCTGCGATCTCCTGGGGGTGCAGCCCACAGAGTGTGTTATGGTTGGTGACTCTCTAGATACAGATATTCAAGGAGGCCTGAATGCTGGCTTGAAAGCAACTGTCTGGTTAAACAAAGCGATGACTACCCCAGTAGACACCTCCCCAGTACCTCATTATATTATTTCTTCTGTTCTGGATCTTCCAGCAGTGTTACAGAAGATGGAGCACAAAATTAATGCTAAGTTAGGAACTGACCGTACGGCTGATAGCAATGAAACACACTGATGGTTCCAGCATACAGTCAGGGACGTGCTGGGATGTTAGGTGACTCAAGCTTTTTTAGAAAATTCAACCCTAGGATTTTGAGCTCATGGATGGTGTGCTTTCTTAAACAGCAGGTGGTTGAGTAAGAGCACAGTTGTCAGTGAAAAGAGGATAGAAACAAAGAGCTAGATTACCTTAAAAGATGCAAGTGCAGTTAATTTAAAATAGCTGCCTCTATCTGGAAATCATTTTGACAAACTGTGTCTAGCTGTCTCTGACCTAAGGTGCCAGTCTCTTTATAGTGCAAAAGAAAATGTGAATGTTTTGATCTTTCACATGCTTTGCTGACTTGTAAATTTAGCAGAAACTTCAGTTCAGACCTTGTTTGCAGTGTGTAAAAGAAGGTGAGAAAGAGTGTGGTACAATCTGGTAAACCACAATTGATCTGCAGTTTATCTCGGGAACTGGAGTGAATTTATTGACAGAATTTATTATGTATCAGACCATTAGAAAATGTTCTACCTTTTGATCTGTTTTCAAGTTTTATAATTTTTTTCAGACTTTGCAGTGAATCTTCTTTTATAGAATCTGTACCTCTTGCCAAAAGTACTTAAATGTGCATTAAAAATTTGCATTTGTGTAGGGGACCATTTATCAGAGGACTTGATGGATAAGTTTTTTACTTTATATTATCTTGGTGCTTATGCAGATACGTAATATACTTGTAATTCAGATTGTGATTTTTGTTGGAATGTAATAGATAAAACAGGGATATTTTCAATGGCCTTACTGTACTGTCAGACTCTTTCAAAGCTAATATTATTGTTCTGTCTGATTTTGTTCGTGAATTTTGATCAGACTTTTTGGAGAAACTTCATGGTCTTGCTCAGGTTTATGACTACTCAGATGCTGCTGCAGGATCGGTGCTTTTTTTTTGACCGTTTTAATGTCACTGCTATGCTATCCCTCCTTACTCCAGTTTCTACATGTATTTTGTGTGATTTACTCTGGAGAAAATATGAGCTAGTTGTTTGTAAATGGCTTTCATGACTCTCTTGAGGAAATTGGAAAATTATGTCATATGCATTATAGCACTGTGTACAACTTTATAATGCGTATGTGCTATTTCCACTAGATGCAGGAGCTGACTCTCTAAAACACTAAGATTTCTTATTTCCCAGATCATTATCTTAATAATTTATTTTTTCTGTACTTTATATTCTTACTATAAAATGGGAAAGTAGTCACATATTAGATGGAAACATAAACACTTGTTGGAAGACCTGTGCTTTTCAAAATCTGTTTGCTATATATACATTGGGTGGAATATCTGACCATATGTGAACAATCGTGTATTTTGGAATAAATCCATGACAAATCTTTTGAGAACAGGGATATTGATGTACTGGCAGAATAGTGTCTGGCACGTGGGCAGCAATAAAGATCAGCAAAAAGTACAGAAACCTACCAGGATATGGGTGTATAGAAGGAATCCTGTATACAAGAAAGGTTCCTTTGTTTAACTTGACGTTAAGTTAATGTAAAGTCCTGCATAGGATGGCAGATTCGGTTTAGAGGTGGCTGTTACTGATGGGAGTTAAATCATTGGCAAAGAGTTTTTAGGCTGCATCAAAATATGTTGCTCCAACATTGATGGGAGAAAAACAAACAAAAAAAAGGAAATGCTCATTAAAATTCATTCAGTTGTCCCTTAAAAAAATTAAAGCAGTCCAAGTTCCTCATGTTATCTAGCCAAGACCTCTGAGACATCAGGATCAATGAAGAGAACAGAGGCAGGCCCCACCTGTACCTTTGAGGAAACAGGTGTGCTAATTGTGATCTAATTACAGTGTTATAGTAAGTTGCCACATGTAACATGAGCCAGTGGAACTGACTTGACACACCTTTGTTACTGAAGAGGCCTAAGATTCTATTTTGCATTTGGAAGAGCATGGAAACGGTCACTGATTTAGCTGATGAGCAAAGCGTTATTTAATAACATTCCTTATAACTGACGTTTGAGAGAAAAATAAAGATCATTGAACCTATGAGGAATATTGTGTAAAACCAGAAATGTATCCAAAAGGTTAGCTGGATCCCTGAAAAGAAAATGTATTTAAAGTCATCTGTTTTAACCATATGTGGTAGAAAAGCAACAACTTTGCTTACAACAGCATCCCAAAGGAGCTGCAGTATAACTCTGCATTCTTTGCACAGCATCAGGGTAGTAGAACTTCAGACACAATGGGGTTTTTAATACAGCTGAGATTTAAAATAACAAATAGTAATAATTCATAATTCTGTCTTTGGGCTGCAAGGATATATATATATATATGCTAGGTTGCCATTTTTAAATATAAGTTGAAGCTTATATTCTCTTGCCACTGCGTCAGTCTGAAGTGGGATGATGAACCTGGTTGTTTTGTATAAAGGGTCTCTTGTTTTAGAAAAGAATGCTCTTTGTTTTGCATGTGGCCAGCTGTTTTCTTAAATGAATCTATGAAGAAACACTTAACACTCAGGTGATAGTGTGGTCTGTAGAGGCCACACCCAAGTGTATTTTTTCCAGTTGTGAGTACTGTACAAGGCCGGGTATGACTACCAGTGTCCAGGTAGGGCAATAGTGTTACGATGCTTCTATAAAACAGAAGAAACAGTAGAAGGGATTTCTCTATCCAGGGGTGGTCTTAGAAGCAGTTACCCAATAAACTGGATTAGGTATCTGGGTATCTTTGAATACTCAAGATGTTTTTCTTGGATGGAGCTCTTACAGAAAGCCTGATGAAAAATAATTATATTTAATTAAATGAAATGTAAATGTAATGATGGGATAATTTTCACATCAGAAGCAGGAATAGATCAATAAAACGGTCTATTCAGTTCTAGTTAAGTCATGGTTTTGCTTAGTGTTACACTGTATTAGCTAAGTTGTCTAGTTTAAATTACATTGCCAAAACACTTCAAACAAAAAGAGGAAAAAGACATTCCATCTATATTTTTAAACACACACACTCCCCTTTTTTTTTTTTTTTTTTTTCAGATAAATATTGCCTCCTGAGGTTAATCTACAGTAACTTTGACTTTAGTGAAATGAACTGAAACAATAGTTTAATACCAACTGTATTTTAATTCTTGATTTAAAATAACCCATGTACTAGTCTAATAAAAGTATTTTGTTTATAAAACATTTAACACTGTATTCCTGTAGATGTCTTTGTTTATAACCAGGTTTACAACAAGGGGCAAGAGTTCTGTTTTTTTAAAATAGCACAGAATTACTCTTCAAAATCTGTGTCCTCACGTTTAGATGTGACGGCTGGGTGTAGTTTCCATCATTTCAAACAGAGTCTGGAACATAATTATGTATTTATGAAGCTTCTTGTCTGGACTGTATCTGTTGAATTCCTAACTGCAGGGCTTTGATAGTTGAATTTGACTTGCCAAGATGAATGACAGCTCAAATACACCTATATGTCCTGATGTTATGGCACCGGCTGCTGCAGCAGCATAAGAAGAGAGTGCAAAGCAGATAACATAAATACAGTAATCTCAGGTCCAGGGGACTCATTTCAGCAGGTTGTGGGTACACAAAGCTGTATCTGAGCTATTGCTAACACACCTCTGTGTGACTTGGAAGAATGGGAGGTTGCTCACATCATGGCTCTTGGCTGCAGAAAAGCAAACTGTCCCCTGATGGACTTTTGTTTGGTAATGGAACAAATTGCCCATCTTCTGGACCGGTGTAGATAGATGGAGAGAGGTGGAAAGGTACTTAAAGGTACCCTAGATGAGGGTAGGGTGTTAGCCTGAGTAAAGGAGGACTCAGCCTCTATCACAGGCGCTTGGCTGTGCCAGTGAGCTGCATCACAAGTGTCACAGATCTGCACAGCATCTCTGTTCTTGTTGAGGAAGCTTTGTATGTGTAATGCATTAAGCTGGACGGTGACAGCCTCAGAAATGAGGACATTTTCTTAGGCTCTTGAAAAACTTTGGTGCAAAGTTTGAGTTCTTGGGTAGTGACTGGGATGTTTCATACAGTACCTATTCTAATTAAAGTACCTTTAATTAGAATACTATGTTAATGCAAAGAGAGAAGGTGTTTGGATGGGGTAACAGCTAAACGTTCTTGTATTTCCCGAAATAAAGGCAAGTGACAGCTGCCTGTGCCCCGGCTAACCTGAACCAATTTGTCTTTTCCTCTGAAGCATCTGTCATTTGACATGACCAGTAATTGGGTTTTGAACTAAATTGAAGCGGTCTGATCCATCACAACAATTTCTCCTGTTCATATAGTGATTCTTTTTTCAACTTTGGCTCTATAATGTGGGGATTTATACTCCCATGTTATCTTGAGGCCTTTAAATGAAATTTAAAATCCTACCTTAATTCTATCCTAACAAAACTCATCATCTGGAAATCATTTGAACACTTTGAGAAGTACAACAAACAGAAACGCAATGTATCTCTGCTGTATGTAGCGGTATACTGTTCTTTTGTGCATGGCTTTTACTATCAGCCTTGCAGTGGGATTGTCTCCATTATAACTCGCTTTCTAGATCACGCTGTGCACATACAAGAGACATAACAATGCAGAGATTATGTCAGCTGTGCCTAAAGCAAAACCGGCAACTTTCTGCCTATGTTGCAAGGGACCTAGACACAGAGAATCACGTTGCCTGCTCCATATAGCATCTTTTGACCTTTTATTCCATCTGCTAAAAACAAGGTTGCATAAGAGCCTTCTGCTGAACAGCTCTCAAGTACTAGAAAACAAGATGTTTTTTAAAAAATATGAAATTAAATTATGCTGCTTATATATGAAATGTCAGTCTTTTAGAAGTGCAAGCCGCATTTCTCAGGTCAATACCTAACCACAGACCAGCTGATAACTTCACATAGGGTCTAATTTAATATAGGAAAACGTTGCCATTTATATCAGTAGAACTTCACAAAGTTAGGGAAGTTTTATGTGCTCCTTGCTGTAAGATCACCTGTAAGTGACTTCTGCTTTCCATTTCTCTTTCCTCAGCTAATTGATCTCCATCATCTATTTCATCAGTTGCATTGCCATATCTTCCTGAATCACAATGGTATCTAGAATTTGGGACAAAGTTTGCAGAGGACCACAATAAACAGTAATGGAAGAGAGCCATCTTTTCTAGCAAGATCATGCTCAGCACATATATTTAGTACCAGCTCCTTGGCAGCTTGTGTGCTGCAAGCATGTGTTTAGGCTGTGTTTGTTTTAAAAGGACTTTTGCCTGAAGAAACTTCCATTCATATCACACAGACTAGGCAAATTTGTCATTTTGTGGGGGAAAAAAAAAAAAAAAAAAAAGTAAAAATGCCGGGGGGGAAAATAAAAGCCTCCAGACAAAATCCTCTGTTAGTTTATATCAAAGTTTAGTAGATATCAAAGTTTATAAGGCAAGTTTAAAATACCAGATCTGAGATACTTTTCTCCGAATTTCAAAATATGTGTTGATGATTAGTTGACTTAAGAAGTGAATGTTGTGAGGAAAATAAAAAGCTACTCATCATTTCAGCAGTTTTCCAGTGTCTGTTCAGTCTGGTTATGGCTCTCCGTCACCATTTTTCTGTCGACTGTATTCAAGAGCAACTTTGTCACACAGAAAATCCAACTTCTTTGTATTTTGAAAATAACATTACTAGGCAACATGGAACGAACTATGTATGTAGCTTCAACTGCATTTTAATATACACTTTATTTAAAATATTTAATGTAATAATACATATTTTTGTTAAGTTCTATTTTTGTATTTTGTCCTGGAAATGTTTATTTTGTGAAACCATCAATATTGAAAAAAATGCAATAAAATATGGGACCGGTAATGTGCTGAGATGTACCTGAGTATATATGCCTGTGGTCATTTAAGAGCCATGCTTTAGATTAAGGATTTAGGGAATTTTTTGTACTTCTCAGTGGCTCTAGGAAGTCACTTAGAATAGGTATGGCTCAGTTTCCCCAGAAACAAGGATGGAAAGCATTTCAACTTCTCTTGCTTTCCAGTCAAAATCCAGCCTAGTGAGGATCAGGTGAGCAAATTTTTATATGCTTGTGTTGTTGCTGAGTCTGCCTAATGATACTGCATTCAGGCAGATGTGGGAAGACCTTTTTCCCAAGGCAGCGACCAGTGCAACAGAAAGGTCCAACTGGAAGTGAAATCATTACGTGTCAAAATCCATCAGTTACTCAGATACATATTTTATTAGTTCTCCTGTGTGAGTATTGAAAATCTCAGTAAATTATTCTCTTTTATTCTTTTAATGAATTAGGTCATCAAGTATCCTCAAGGTTATTGTGCTGTTTTCGTCAGAGCAGTAATGTTTTGTAGGTCTGTCTGATAAAGTCAGGCTTAAAGTTTTTCTTTGTGCTACTGGTAGCATGGTCTTTGCCGTTAACAATGCGGCCTGTTAAATCTCACTGGGGTTAGGATTTATCAGGAAGTCTGCAGTGGATGAACTGACAGCCTTTGTTTTCCAAACTGTTGATGCCTTCTGTTGTGTTTTGTTTCAGACATTTAAATGAGAAGGGTCCTGAATGTTCTAAGTCCTTTTTTTCCTTTCAGGAAGAAAATGCGTAAATGACACAAACAGGTTGTTTATTTTTCTTTCAGTAAATGTAACTGGGTACAAATACTTTTTTGCTTCCATCCCTCTCATCTGAAAGTATTTTATAAGGTACCGAATAACTTGATGTCTAAACTACTTTGGTATATTTGTTATCTTTATCCAGTTACTTTGTGAAACATTGTATGTCTGTT